TTAAAATTACTTTTATAAAAATGAAAATCTTGAAATTTTTATACTAGCTATTTATTATATACTTAATAATAATAGATTAGTATTAAGAATAAAGTAAAAAAAGTTATATTTAAAGAAAAATATTAGAAATATAGACTAAAATTTGCAAAAAAAGTATAAAAATTAGATAAAAAAAAAGTGAATAAGCATAATTTGATTTGATAAGTTAAAATTTAATATTTTTGAATCAAATAAATATGAATATTATTGAAAAAAAGAAAAACTATTAAAAAATATATATATTAAACTTATAATTAAATTTAATAGTAATATAGAGTTACTTTACTACTTATAATATTAGTTATTTTTATAAAATTAAAAAGATTATAAATAATATATTATATAAAGAAATTCTTGCAGAAAAATTTATGAATACTATCAAATATTATAATTATATACTAAATAATATTATTTTTTAACAAGATAATAATCTGAAGTATATTACTATAAATATAAAAAAATAATTTATCAATAATAAAGTTAATATACTTGATTAATTATTCTAATTATTTGATTTTAATCTAATCAAATATTTATAAAGTATTATTAATTGCTATCTATATTATTTTTTAAGTATAATTTTAGGTAAGAAGAATCTGTGAGAATGAATTTAGAATGTATAAAATAATATTAAAATTAATATATGTACTTATTTTATCAAGTTAATATCAAAAAAAATATCAAATATAATAAAGATTCATAATGAATATACAAAGTAGTAAAGCTAAATTAAATTAGTTAATTTTTAAAAAAAATATGAAAAAAATATATATTTTTTTTTATTAATATATATGAGTAATTTTTATTATATTTAAAAAAATAAATATAATGTAATATATAATATTGAATATATTTTTAATTTAAAAAAAATTTAAATTATTAACACAGTAATAAATTTATAATTATAAAATTATAATATTATATTATTTAATAATATCAATTATAATTTGATATTTTTTAAATATGAAAGAGATATAGTAATTTAAAAATTGTGATTTAAATATTATATTATTTTTGATTATTACTATATATAATAAAAAATATATAAAAAATTTAAGTATTATTTTATTTTTAATTATTATTATATATTATATTTTTTTAAAAAATAACTATTATTTTTTATATAATTAAAAGAAAAAATAATATATTTTTAAATTATATTATTAAGTTTATATATTAAAATAACTTTTAAAAATAACTTATTTTAAAAAATATATATTAATATAAATATATTTATATTAATTATATAAATATAATTATTATAAAAATAAAAAATTATATTATAATACAGAAAATCTTAACTTATTAATAAATTATATAATATTTAAAAACTATTAAAATCTTTAATAAATCAAATTTTAAAAAAATAAACTGATAATAATATTATTTAAAATATATACTATTAAATTACTAATCAAAATTTTAATTTAAGTTTTAAATAAAAAGTTATAAGCATTTTAAATTAGATATTTATTATATAATTTGATTAAAATTAAAATATATTATATAATTTTTTATTTTATAAAACTTACTTTATTAATTAATTATAATAATATATCATATATGAATAATTTTTATTAGTTTAATATTAAATCTAAGTTCCTAAAAAAATTAATTATACCTAATTATTTTAAGAAATATTTGCTTAATTAGTATTTATGCTAACTGTTAAGAAATAATAAAAATTATATGCATTTACTACATTATTAATTATATTATATGACATATTATATTATATATTATTACTTAATACCTACTATATCATTGACTGTATTATATAATATTATATATATAAAATTAAAATAAATTCATATAATTAGTAAGTTAAGATTTCTCTCATCATAGAATTATTAAAAATTAAATATTTATAAAATTTTTAAATAATACAATTTAATCTCTTTATAATTATCTTTTATATAATTTCAAAATCAATATAGTTATATTTTTTTCATTTCTCAAATAATTATAAAACAAAAAAATTTGATTATAATCTCTATATAATTATAATTTTTATATTCTAATAATGTAAATATAAAGAAAACAGATTATAATTAATTTCTTAATATTAATTAATAATTTATTTATAAAATTATATAATGTTATATTCTTATATTATATTTGATCAAACAACTTAGAATCATTAATTATTTTAAATTATAAAGAAATTTTATTTTAAAAATATATTATTATACAAAAATATATTATCAAATAATTTCTAAGATATTTTATAATATACATATTTTTTTATTATTATTTTATAAAGATTTTTTGTAATTAGACTTTTTTAATATCAATTAAATAATAATAATCAAATTTTTAATATATTCTTGAACTCACTTTAGCTCTTTAAAATATATTTATTCCTAATATTATTCTTTCAATGTTAATTAATAAGAGAAAATCCAAGAAAGCTATTTCTTTTTTTAATAGCAAGTCTCGCATAAATGTATCTGAGAACATTTGTTCACTCTTTCAAGTTTGAATTTTGATTCCAATAGTCAACAGTAAAAAATCGCAAAAGGATGAGACGTGATTTGTCAAAATTTAATGCATTATTATTATAAATTTTCGTCAAACCAAAATTTTATCGATAATATCGCGAGCCGAATTGTTTACGTTATTAGGTATCCGTCAGCTATGGGTTATCAACCAATGTATGTTATGCTAAATATATGGTAATTTACACTTATTATTGCTTTAACAAGGGTTGGCCACCGATATGGGCGTTATGCATTCGATTATGAGTGAAACAAAACCTATTAAAGTGTGAGTAGTCAAATATATCATTAAAAAGTTGAGTCTTGTAAATTTTGTTTTGCTAATATTTTTGTTTTAGTCTAGCAACAGGGTCAGCAAACGGCCAAATTAAACGACTATTTGAAACGGTCACGAAAATAAACGAAAAATGGGGACCTTTCGACATGCATTTGTGTGTTGGGGATTTGTTTGGTGAACAGGAGGACTCTGAAGAAATTGAACTCTTGATTAAAGGCGAAATTAAAGGTAGATATGAATCTACATAAAATGTTTCCAAATACCCATATCCGTATTTGTAATTCTAAATCAAAAATTTTCCATCTAATAAGTACCAATTAATGCGTATTTCATGTATGGAAGGAACAGAATTCCCTCAAAAATAAGTGAACAAATCAGGAACAATAGCGGTCAAGTCTGCGAAAATCTCACATTTCTCGGTAATTATATGCAATATAAATAATTCAAAAAAGCAATGTGCTAAATTACCTTTTTCATCATATAATCTGTACTTGATTAAAAGAGGGCGAAAGAGGTGTTATTCTTACAGCACATGGTGCGAGAATAGCCTACGTTAATGGAATACCAGACTTCTCAAAATTCGATTCAATAAAAAATGAAGCAGTGGATATATTCCTTAGTTACGAATGGCCACAATTCATAACGCGATTTTCCGGTCAAAACATCACACACGTTCCAAAAAATTTTCAGGATCATGAGTCACAGATCATCGCGGAGATGTCCCTGTCGATCAAACCACGATATCATTTCGCTACTGCTGCGTCAAAGTTTTTCCAGAGAGAACCTTATAAGAATGACCCCTCTCTGACTAATAATGATGCTATAATAATGGATCTTGATACACAGAAAACTTTTGCCACTTGGTTTGTAGGATTGGCTGATGGTTTGTTTCTCTTTGTATAACATACTATTGAGCTTTGCTAGTAGCTAATTTATAAATTAATAATAATTGTTATCTCAGTTTCATCAGCAATGAATCAAAGTAAAGAAACAGAAAACAAGGTAAAAAATACTATTATTTTTCTACATATTCGTAAATAACTCACTATTTTGAATTAATCCGAACTTTATAACAAATATATTTGTAGTGGTATTACGGGTTCAATCTTGTTCCTTTGTTGCATCTCGATCAGTCTTCTAAAATTGAAATACCGCCAAACATAACTGAATGTCCGCTTTCTTTCACAAAACTAAAAAAAGGGAAAAAGCGGGCTATTGAAGTGAGTTTCATTGTTTATTTTATTTCGTAATATACTTAATATTCATACTTATTTTCATAATTGCCACCTTTTAGGATGATGACAAAAAAACATCGTCATCACATTCTAACTCGGAAAAAAGAAATAAAAAACAAAAAAGTGGAGAGAGAGGTATCATTTTTTCCTTGCCTAAAATTTTAATACAGCATTTTTTCATTTTTATGTGATCTCTTATTTCATAAAGGTCCACCACCTGAAAGATATAAATGTTATAAATGTGGCAAGCCAGGCCATTGGATTGACGAATGTACATTTCTCAAATGCTTCGAATGTAATAAAGAAGGTCACTCAACACGTTGGTGTCCAAATAGGCAAGGTAATGCTCATTTCCGTTCAACATAAAATAATCACTTTATTGAGGCAATGCAAATATTCAAAAACTATCATTATGGTATAACAGAGCCTTGTTGGTTTTGCTTGAGCAATCCGAAAGCCTCCAAGCAGTGAGTCTTTTCAAAATTTACTTAAATGATTTTTTTTATTTTATCTTACATCTAATTGATTCATTTATTGTAGTCTTGTTGTTTCAGTAGGGACTGAAGTCTATTTAGCCGTAAGTTAAACACGAGATTTTAATTTTCATGGTATATGTCTATTTACATTCTCCTATAAAAACATAATATCAGATAGCTAAGGGAGGCTTAATAGATACAACAAATCAATTAGTTTCACCAATCATACCGGGAGGCGGTCATGTATTAATTGTAAGTTTTGACTTCAAGATAGAATAATGTCCTAATTTTTCGACTGAAAACTCCATCAATTACTAGGTATCTCTGGCACATTACGAAACGTTTGCGTCAGCAACCGAAGATGTCCAAGATAAAATATCTGAAGAAATTCAAAAATACAAAGAGAGCTTGCGAGAAATGTTCAAACATTATGGTGCCAATATGTTAACATTCCAAGTATCTGTATATGGATTGCGCCACCACGCCCATATACAAGTCGTTCCGATCCCGGTAAAGTATGATTCTGAATTCATTAAAGCCACTTTTATTGAAGAAGCTGATTTGGAAGGGTTCACACTTGAGGAAGGGCCTCTTGTTACTTATAAAGATGATAAGTTTAAAGAATGTAATTTCTCTGTGGAATTGCCAAACGGGGAAATTTTGACTTATCATTTCGAAGACAGTAAAGACTTTGACCAACAATTTGGAAGGTATGTATATATAATATAGCTTTTCATTAACGTTTATTATTACGCGAAAAATTACTATAAATATTGTAATTTTTGCAGGAGGGTGTTGGCGGATATGTTTGGAACTTCTGAACGTGCAAGCTGGAAAGCATGTTCTCTAAATCAAGATAAAGAAAAACAAGATCGCGAGCAATTTCGCTCTGCTTTCAAAGATTTTGATTTTACGTTGAAGGAATAGAAAATTCATGTTTTATTGGTAAGATAATTCCTTAATAAATTTCTGTACATTATATATTCAATTCAACCAAGCATTATAAATTTGAATGACTGGATGTTTGGATTAGCTTTTTGTATTCTACTCGAGAATAAATAAAAATTTGACTCGTAGAGCTGGGAATAATAGTACACACATGTTCTACATGCAATGGCTGAGGACTATAAAGTATAAAATCAAAATTTTGTGCATTATTTCTTTGTAATTCATTAATAAGTACATACATTTTTCTATAGACAATTAATTATATTTAATAAAAAATACAAGGAATCTATCTTATGATTAATCCAAGACCAATTATTCATTAACTACAAAATCCCCTTATAAACCGTGGTAATGTAAATCATTCGTCGTCAAATACAGCCGTAGCCATGTTACCCACTTCCCATATCTCGGAATCTTCATCAACCAGCCGTTCACCGAAGCCAACGGCATGGTTAGCACGTGACTGCTCCAATATTTCCTTTTCTTGGGCAATAACTTTTGCCAAATTATGCCGCGCGAATTCGTTTATATTTTTATTGGTTTGAGCATCGGTGGTCGATAGATATTCCTATTTTTAACACTAATAAATAAATGTGGTATAATAATATATAAGAAAAATGGAATAGAACATCAATACCTGTAAAACAGCTTCACCGTCCAAGAGTTGCAAAGCATAAACCAATGCTTGTTCAGCGACCAACTTAACTGAAGTATTTCTATCTCGCGCAGATATGAGCAAAGGTGGAACAACTATTGGAAGATACTTTTCCAGTATCTTTATATAAGAGTAGAAATATTTTTGTTATGCTTACTTCTAATTAATATATATATATATATAATATTATAATTACTGCAGAATGCTTTCTGGCAAATGCACGGAAAACGGTCAACGCAAGCCTTTTTGTGTCTGCAACAGAAGTAGGCGGTTCTTTAACATCATTTATTAGTGCTTCGACTAGACGATCAATAATTTCTTCGTTCTGATATAGTGTGGTGAGAAGCATCTTGCCAGCCGCGAGTATTGCGGTATCTGATATCACGGGCTACACGTGAAAAATGTCAATATAATAGATTATCGTGAAATATAGAATAAAAACCAACTTCACCTGGTTACTTTTTGTACTATTAATAATTATATCGACCAAATTATCTGTTAACCCTAAATCTTCGAATGTTGTCGGAGATTCTGCAAGAATGGCATTAATAGCTAACAGGGCACCATACGAAGCAGGAGCATCACGTAATACGTGGTCTCTATTATTCAAATTAAAAAGTTAGGTTCCAGTATCAGAATAAAGTTCGGATGATAAAAGAACCTACTTGATTATACTTTCTGCCTCATCTGGTCTCAAATTTTTACACAATGTACCTAACACACGAGCAGCTGCAACAATCACTCTCTCTATAAGGCAATCAATATACAAAAAATTAAAAAATGACAATGAATTCCGGAACATTTAACAAAAATGTTTAATACCTGTATTTTCACTTAAAGAGTCAACAACAATAGTAGTAACATTTTTCTTTGAATTTTCACTCATTAATTCTCCAGCTTTACTGATAACGCTTTCCAAAGCATCTAACATTGTCTCACGGACATCTGGTTCGCTTTTTGTGACACCAGTCACTAACTCGGATATAAGTGGATCCACTCGACTCTGTAATGAAATGAGGATGCCCAATGCAGAAGCAGCGCGCGATCGTACTAATGAACTGGATGTATCAGCAAGAGATTTTATAAAGGCACGTTGTAGTTGCGGTATGAACGGTTTTAGAGCTAAAGGAATTTTATTAAGGAGGAGGCTACAAGAATTGAACGAATACAAAATTATTTAATAGCAAGTTACGTTATTAACTTTAATTTTTATTATGCATTACACTCACCTTAAGGTTTGTAATATTGCTGCTTTCACATTAGAAGGATATCGATCACTAACAATACGGATCAATGGCCCGGCCATTTGGGCAGCAAAAGATTGAAGTGCCTCAGGAGAGGTTCGTTGAATTATATCACCCATCCCTAATGCAGATTGCTCACGAATCTCCGGTGTACCATATTGAAGTCCTTGAATAAATATTGGTAGAATAGGGCTAATTCCCTTTGGCAAACAGAAGCCTGGAAGATTGACTCCTGGTACACCAACAGCCTTTACAGCACGACGCACAGGTATGATTAATGGCTCTAGTTCATCTTTCTTCAAGGATTTTGTGACAGCATTCAAAGCATTCCAAGCAGATTTCACTACTTCATGAACACGATCATCCAACAAAGAAATAAGTACACGTATCCATTCAGGGACATATCGAGAAACATCCATCCTATTTTCCATAAAGAACATTGTTATAATCTCACATGCGCCGAATCTCTTTGAGGGCTCTTCACTCTTGACCGTTTCAAAGAGCATCATCATTAGTGTTTGCAGACCTTCGGCGTTATCAATCGAGAGAATTAATGTCCGTTCGGTTTCTCTTAACGCCTCTTTGATAGTCTCATCTTTTGTAAGATTAATCGAAGTCATAAGCGCGGTGAGTATGCTTGTTAACCTTTTATTCAGTGTAGGACCAGCTACGGAGACAAGAGTTGATAATGCACGTGCATTGAATGCATCAATTGGAACAGCGATGAGGGTGGGTATTAGTACTGGGAAAACGACATTAGCGCGAACAGCCATCAGTTCCTTAAATGCTTCCAAAGCATAATCTGAATTTTTGCCTGATTTTAAAGAATTTAATAATGTTGGGATGATTTCATCAATAGCCTTTTGTCCGACATGTTGATGTAGAATGTCAAATGCTAATAAACCACAGCATATTATTATATTAATCATGCGAATTCATAAGTTAAGAATATAATAATAATTACATATTTATTACCTTGTGCTGCAGCTTCACGCACTTCGCCTGATTCGTCAACCAACGCTTTTCTGACTGCCGGAACAAAGGAATCTGTATATTCAATGACTTGTATTTTACTAGCGGTACTCATGGTTTCACTAAGACCCACACATACACCCTGGCGCGTGTCTGGATCTGAAGATTCGAGTCCTCCTTCTAGAATTGGTATTATTTCCGATAAGATATTATCGCCAAGTTTTCGCACAAGTTCACCAAGTGTACGAGCAGCAACTTGTCGTCTTTCCGAGCTATGACTCGCGAGGTTACGAATTATTGTTGTCATCATAATAGGCAGTATGTCCTTTATAGTGCGAGGAGTATTTGATACGATTGCTTTCCAAACATGCATCGAAGCTTGACGGACAACTCCTGAAGCTAAAATAAAAATTGAAAATATATACAAATAACTAATTAATAAAAAGTATTAATTATAAATAATTAACGAACATACCATCTTGTCTGATAATATACAAGGAAGCCAAGATACGATCTCTTCTTTCTTTTCCAAGAATCTGAAGCAATGCCTTTCTACCAGCTTCTGTACTACCTGTTTCACCAACTGTTTCATCTTCATCACCCTCAAGAGGAGTTTTTCCACTGATTCCAGTAATTCGGTATAGCAAATCACCCATCAGTTGAACTGAACTGTGACGTATTCGCCAATTATCATCAAATAAGCCTCTTTCTAATTCAGGAAGTAATAAATCTACAGCCTTGGTAGCATAATTAACAACAATCATTTGTCCAGCACGTAATGAAGCTTCACGGACATATTCAGAGTCATCTGCAAGACCAGCCAATATTGGTGGGATAATTCGTCCAAGATAAGGTTGGAATCGAAGACCAAAAGTGGCCGGAAGGTAAATAAGTAAAGAAATAAATCCTTCGCGAACATATGACTTTGAGCTCTCGGTATTGTTTAATATTTCTGGTAATAATCCTTCTAGACGTTCTAGGCCCAAGCCGGCTAATACTTCACTAAGACCTTGAGCAGCGCCTTGTCGATCAACACCACTAGTATCAGATTTAAGAGTATTTGTCAATTCGGAGACCAGGCTTGGGAATTTATCCTCGCCCAATTTTTCGACTAGGGTTCCTAAAGCTTTTGCAGCTGTAGCTCGCGCTTCTGGCACAGGATCGACTAAAACTTCTTTGAGTCCTGGTAACAATTTTGGCAAATATGGTACCAGATCTTTGACGTCTGTTAATGAAGCCATGTTACCCACAATTTGTGATGATTTTTTCTTAACGTCAGTACTTCTTTCTTTCAAACCCCGTTCCAATATTGGCATGACCTTATTAATAAGAAAGACAATATTAGCAAGGTCGAAATAACAACTTCAAAGTATATATATCTTTTACCAATGCTAAGGACGGTGCATCAATGTAATGAACAAAGGCTGTTTCCAATAAAGCATTTAATGCTGCATTAGTATTCTTGTCCGGATCACTTAATGCATGCAATAATGTTGGTACAAGTTCTTGAACTTCAGGATTGCTAATAACTTCGCCAAAACGCAAGAGAGCTTCATTAGCGGCGGCTTGAACTTGCGTATGAGAATCCATGAGAACTTCTGTCAATCGGGGAACAATTGTAGGTAAAGAAATCGATAATTGTTTAGGCGCACAAAAAGCCATTGAACCCAATAATTCTACGGATCCTTTTTTTGTGCGCCATTGGCGATCTTCTAAGCCAGCAAGTAACGACGGAAGGATTAGTTTGACACAATGTCCACTAATTTTGCTCATTATAACTCTGGCAGTATCCGATGTTGCTTCTCGCACATCCGGATGTGAATCGCCAAAGCAAGTCAAGAGTAATGGCAAAATTTGAATTATATAAGGCTCAAAAAGTCGACCTAAAGACTGTGATAAAGCTTCAAAGGCAAACAGAGCTCCTTGGCGGCACTTATAATCTTTCTTGTTCCCAATGTTTTCTTTCAATGAAGTCATGATATTACAATCTTTCAATGCAGATATACCAGTACCCTTAATAATACCAGCCAATCCAAAAGCTGCTCCCTTTCTCTCCGCGTACTTTTCTGAACCAAATAATTGATTCAATAAGCCGGAAATCAGATTCGGCGAGGAATCTTTCATTGTTTTTATTAGGGGTGGCAAGCAATCTGCAACAGCTGTTTGTACAACTTCGGATGGTGTTTTAAGTGTTTCGAGAAGCTTATCAATTACTATAGGTATTCTAGTATCGTTCGTGTCTAAATGACGTGCTAAAGCACCAAACCAAATAACCACAGATTCACGAATGCGATCATGCGTTTCTGAGGGAGCAGCAGGTGTGTCGAGATATTTTTGAAAAATTGACATTAGTACAGTTACATTCGCTGCACCATGTGCATTAATAACTGCTAGTCCAGCCTGTAGTTTGATGAAATTGATGTGAAAAATTATATAATTATTTGGATTAAGATAATGTTGGTTTGATTTAAATAACTTCCCTGCAACATTTTTTGTCTAACATCAGCATTAATATCACCCACAGCCTTCTCGACAATCAGAAATTCATAAAAAGGTATTAATTCAGAAGGAGTAAAAGAAGGCGCAAGGGTACTTAGAGTAAGCGCCAATCCTGCACGTGCTTCCCAAGGATCTTTAACATTCAAAGATTCAGGAATAATCATGCCAAATTCATTGTATTGTGGACCTATTTGTTGAGCCTAACAATTAAATTACTCAAGAATTTAAGATTGATATATTATTAAAGATAAATCATCATAAGCAATCATTTACCTTCTCCTTATAAAGGTCGTATACTAAATTTAAAGTATCAGAAATAGTAGAGGGAAAATATTCTACAGCACTGCCAATTGCCTTTGAGCAGGCCACTCGTACAAAGCTCTCATTATGTATCAGAAGAGGTAGTAATTCAAGTGCATAATTTGGTTCGACATCCATTCCATTATCTTCCCAAAGCGCGTTCGCGAGTTTAGCATTACTCTCATCTTCATCAAAACAAGACACCCATAACTCTCGAGAAAAATCGAAATCTGTTAAATCTAAAAATTCAAGTCCCTGTAAACATGCATTACGAACCAAAGATTGCGGATAAAGTAATCCAGCCAATAAAGTATCAATTTCACGTTTTTTTGCAGTATCGCCCATTGATTGGCACAAGTCTACTAAAGCGGACTTAGCAGTTTTTGTCAGTTTAGGATATTCTTTTATTATGTGCATTAAACATTCAATCATTTCACTACGTGGAATTAATGGTGAATATCCAATAACCGAATGGAATGAAATTATATCTAAACTGAACGCAACTTGCTCCAATGATAAATCCGTGTCTTTCTCAAGATTATCTAAATTTAAGAATCCTCCTTTATGAATGACTTGGTAAATAAGAGAGAAGCAATAAGAGAACGAAGCGGCCGGCAATGGATTACGTTCAGTCACAATTCGGAGGCCGTAAAGTACTCGCGTAACAAGATGTCCCAATGGTTCTTCGAGCCAATGTTCTGGGATTTCACTAATCTCCATAGCTCGTAGAGTTGCTACTCCAATTTGTACTCGAATCGAAGAAAGATTTTCCGTGGTACAAAGCCCAAGCTGTAAATAAGTTTCGATTGCCTTATCTCCCACCAGAACCCTACCGTTCTTTACAACAAAAGTCAATAATCGCATCAATTCAGCAACATAATCTTTTAAGTTCTCGGCGTTTCCTTTTATCATGGCTTTAATGATATCTAATCCTCGAATATATCTGAAGTGGACCTCTTGTACTTGCTTTCGTATTTTTGATTCCTTTGCCAGTTGCGCATTAACAGCAGCTTGTTCATCTTTGGATAGCTTCGGAGCATTTGCTGCTTTGGTTGCACCTTTTTTCTTGGCAATTTCTTCGCGAACTTCACGTTCCCATTTTTCAGTTTGATAATCCTTTCGATTGCGGTTCTCCGCCACATTTTTCTTATTACGCTTCAATACTAAAAAAAAAAGTTTCGCGAAATATTTTAAGATATAGAAAAAAGATTAAAATTGTATGGGCAGCTGTCGATAGAAATTTCAATGTTGACTGACCGTCAACAAAGAGAGTCCCTTCTGGAGTTTTCCAAATTTTAATTTCTTGTTCTCCGATATTTGTCATAAGCGAAGAGTCCAAATCATTATGACATTGAGCGAGGAACAAAGGAATAAACGTGTCAGGCGATATGAAAGAAAGTGTAGAAATCGTTGACATGGCAGCCTGATAAAAAGATTTTGACTGGGCGAAATATATGAAAATTAGCGTGTAATTTATCTCAAATGGTACATATTGTTGTAATATTTACTTCATTCTCAGTATCGATCTTTTCCGTAATTATTTCTTTTAATCGACTGTGATGTGCTTTTATAAGTTTTCCAGGATTGAGACCCGCCCTTTGAACTAAACTGATCCAATTATATTTATCACTAGGTGACACTAGATATATAAAAAGATGTTTATTAGTATTATATTTCAAGATAGCTGAATTTCCGTGCCGAGGTGAATAACAAAAATCTAACCAATAGAACGATGATGAGCCAACAGCACAATTTCAATTAAAGATGTTTCGATAACATTAATCTCGGTACTCTTTGAAAACGTCGTGATCGCGGTGAGGATTCTTGATAAACGATAAGCAGTGTTCGGATTTTCATCTGGTTGGATGGCATTCGTAGCTAACACTGCAGTAGAATCTTTGGTATTTTTTTCAAGCTATAGCCAAAATGGTAGAGCTTATAAATAATTATAAAAACAAGTAAAAATATTTCAACATTATACATACATTTAATAACCATCGGGTTAATCCCTCTCTTATTATACTATTTACAAGTATGGGTTTTATTTGATTACATCTAGCAAGACTTTCAAAACTGACACGACGCGTTTGATGTTCATTTGTTGAGGAAATCAGGTAAATGTATGCTGTTGCAAAAACATTTCTATTAAAATTTATATAATATTCGAAATTAAGCTTTGAATAATAATCTTCGCAACTAAATATTATTAAATGTAAAATCATAAATTACTTTGTTTCCTTTTTTTCAAACACGCCGTCATCTTCTTCCAAAAGGACGCCTTCCAGAGATCGAACAAACCACAATCCTTCTTCGTAACTAGATAGTTTCGAATACACCTTGTCCCAAAGCCAAAATGATGGTTTTGGTGTAACTGTGAATATAGATTGCGGTAATTTCTTTGCACGGATCAAGCTATCTGAAAGAATACGCGAAATTAAGCATCACTCAATTCCATTTTTTTTAAAATATAAAGATAAAAAAAAATTAGTATAGTTTTACCAATTTCTTCATTTTTCCACCTCCTTGCTCTGCCTTCCGCAATGGCCACCACAATATACCCTTCAAGAGGTCCTCCAGGAAAATTCAATGGATTAGCTTGAATATTATCCAGTGTCGTCAAAAGAGACGAAAGTGATTTTTTCGTGATATCCAGAAGCGCACTAGAAGGTTCATTGACAGTGATATTATCTTCCCATATAACACTTCCAATCATGATGGCCCAAGCTTTCCTTACTGCAACTTTGTTACTAGTCAAACCCTTGATGGTCGCTTGTGTAATCTTATTTATAGTATCTTCGTCTGTTCCTATTCGGAGCAATAAGCTAACGTGTATTTTAAGTGTAGCAATAGCTCGCGAAAGAGATTGTTCATTCATTTCTTTAGCTATTATTGGCAAAAGTCCTTCGATCACGTTTTTTGAAGTAATCGGAGATTGACGAACGCGACCCAGTGTCTGAATTAGAAATCCACGATGTTCTGGATTTGTCACTTTGCCTATTCATCAATAATTTAATAAGACATCATTATCAATAAAAAATTTTTCAGTGAAAGAATCATCGATAGTCATACCCGCTCACCTCCATTCAACGTCTTGATAGTTTCTTTAATTATATCAACGACGACATCAGGCTTTTGACTTTTCTCTAGCAAAACATTCAGCACATCAATAGCACCAGTTTGAACTGATTTGTTGGTTGATCCCACATAACCCAGTAAAGGCTGAAGAAAATTGTTTTTGAAAATAGTTGATGTGTCAAATGACAGCGCCTTAACATTATATTTTAAAACTGTCGTAATATGAAGCGAAAAAGATTAGAAATATATAATCAAGATAAAAGAATTTCGAGTAATAATTATATGTAGATTATTAACCATTCAAGACAATTTCTGGTGCTCTCAAAAGCATTTTTTCGAAAACAGGAAGAAACTTCGTTATAAAATGTTGTTCAGTGATGACCGTTCTAATAAAATCATGAAGGGCATCCTATATAATAATAATTTAGTTAATTTGGTTGGCTGATACGTTGATTGCTATCAAAAATAGAATGACAAGTTTTTGTCTCCAAATCTTAATTAATTACCGCAGTCTTTTCAGGTATAGCAGCCTTAGATGATACAATCTGAGTCAAATAAAACTGTGTAATATTGTCCTTTTAATCAGAACATAAATGTTAATTAAGTATTAATTGTTAAAATTATTGATCCACCATGAATATTATCAATCGATATTTTCTCAGGAGATGTTCAGTCAAGCAAACCTTAACGTTCAAGATAAAAGCTTTGCCGTTCTCTTTTCTGAGTCGTAACGCACTATCAATAACAGTTCCCAAAAGAACAGCATTACGAAGTGGAGGATTGTTCGTCTTTGAAGGTTGTGTCAAATGAGATATTATTGATGGAATTTTTGTAGGATTCTACGTTTATTTTTGTCAAAAATTTTTTGATCTTATTAATACAGACTAACGACAATAATAATAGCAATGATAATATCCACACCTTTCGAACACATTTCCTGACATCTACCAAAGCACCATGCGTTATACTTTTTCGAATTTCTTTGTCGTTAACAATCGAGTCGAGCAAAACAGCTTGCAAGTCTATCAAACTCGTCCAGCGTTCCAATAACTCTGACGATAATTCAAGCGTGTCCGCAGATACAAAATTAATCAGAGAGTTGACCCACGTAAGAAGGACAAATCGATTAGCTGAAGAAGTCGAGTATTTGCTAAATCAAAATAAATTTCGTGTTGATAGCGCACATGATTTAAGTTAAAAGAATTCGATCTAATAATTATAATTCTAGTAATTTCGAGCTGTATTCATTTAACACACCCGTCTGGACTCTTTTTATTCAGCATCTCGGTTTCTTTGACCAGTGACGGAACAAAATATTCTAGGAATAAGCTTGAATTCCAATTGTACAATTCTTTTAATACATTTATCAAGGCGAGCCGAGATTTTCGGTCACTATATCGTGGGTACGTTAATAGCACAAGGTGAAGCAAGCCTCCAATTGTATTTACAGAAAGGCCTAACAATAAATTTATAATGAATAAAAATGTAACCAATAATTAAAATCAACTCAATCAATTCACCTCCAGCTTTTATACGCGGCAACAATGCATGGTTGAGAAACTCGATACGTCTATTTGTATTCGAGCTAGTAATGTTGTATGGAGCTCGATTTTTTATGAAATCCGCCCAGGTAAGATCTGATAAATTTATGTCCACTTCTTCCATGATAAATTCGAAAAAAAATTAATTTTCTAAATACACGCGCACATGAGAATCTATAAAAATTGGACAACCAATTAAATCGTGTGAAATTTTCCATAAAAGGAAATTAGGATATGAATTTGGATCCACTCGATTTTTATTTTATCGAAATGTCTCTAGCTAGAACCTCTTCATCCAAAATAAAATCCTCAAACACAACTTCACCAATAAACGAACAATCGCAAGAATCCAAAAGATCTTTTCCATCATCCTCTATTCCGGTGCAAATTGCTTTCGAGGAACCATCCGAGTATGTGAAACTAATAAGTTCGGATGGTTTCGAGTTTATCATTGCTCGGCAGGCAGCATTGTGTAGTGGGACTATAAAAAACATGTTATCAAGTCCCGGTAAGCTTTTATCCTTTTTTAAAGTTTCAAATTCTTATGCGACAAGCGAAAATCCTCAATTTAAAAGAATAGTATAAGGCGGTTTTTCCGTTGCTATGGTTCTAAAGATGTTTTCGACTTTATTTAATATTTATTTTTTCTTTAGGTCAATTTCAGGAATCCGAAAGAAATGAAATTAATTTTCGAGATATAAAGTAAGAATATTACTTACCAAAATTATAATTGCTTAATTTCAAAAAAAACTAATAAAGCATAAAAATAATTCAGAGCAGTTATTCTAGAAAAAGTATGCCAATACTTGTACTACAAAGTAAAATATACAGATTCCACAAATGATATACCAAATTTTGATATTGACCCACAGATGGGATTGGAATTGTTAATGGCGGCGGATTTTCTAGACTGTTAATGGAGGAGTAGAATTTAAAAGAACAAAGTTATCTATTGTTGGAAAAAAAATTATTTATTTATTGCTTTGTTTTATTTTATTTGTCAATAAATCAAACGTTTCGAAATAATCAATTTCGACATATTTTTAAGTGCAAAGTTCGGGCAACGTGATGTGAGTCATGTGATTTTTTAATTGTATGATACATGATCTCTTAACGTTAAGATTGCTTTGCAATTTACTAAATTTAATTTTATATTTAATGACTTTATTTTGATAATATAAAACATATTGTATATTCTATTTATCTTTTAAAATAATGATTTACATTAAATAATTACTAACTTACAATTATATAATTGAAATTTGAACGATTAAAAATATATTAGTATACAAATGATAATTTTTATAATTATAAAATCAGAATTGATTTTATTAATAAAATATAATAAAAATTGAAATCTTCTTTTTTATATTAAAGTTTATAACTTATTAAGAAATAATTTTTAAAATAAAATTTATAATTTAATATATATTTTTTTAGAATTGATATTTGAATTTTTAAATATTTGAATTGAATTGAATTCAAGTTCAAATTCAAATATTCAAAAAAATCTCAAATAAAATTAGTTCATTAAGTATAATTAATATATTTATATAATTTGAACTGATTTTAAATATTTAAATAAGAATTTTAAATAATTTTGAGAACTTAAGAAATTTACTTGAGTTAATTTAGAAATTTTTTTAAAAATTTATTCTTATAATAATTTTTAGTTTTTACATTATATTAAAAAATATATATATTAAATTATAAATTACAAATTTTAATTTAATATAAAAATAAAATTATTATTAATAAAATTATAAAGTTTAATATAAAGAAAAAATTATTATATTTTATTAATAAATCTAATTTTTAATATTTTATTTTTAGCTATTATTATACATTTATATATTTTTAAATATTATATATAAATTAATTAAATTTAAAAATTTAGTTAAAAAATTTAATATTATAATAATTTTTAATTAATTAATAATGATTTTATATTAATATAATTATAAAAAAGATAATAAAATATTTTAATATATATAATTTTTAATATATAAAGATAAATATATATTTTTTTTAACAAATAAGATAATTAAAATATAATTTTTTATAAAAAAAATATTTTAGATTAAATAATATTTCTTTATTATCTTTTTAGATAATATAATAATAATAATATAATATAATTATTTCTTTAAAATAATTTTATTTTAATTAATTATACTTTTTAAAAAGCATATTATATAATATCTAAAATTATTAAATTTTTTATAAATTAATTAAAAAATAAATTCAAAATTTAATTTATAAATATAATTAAAAAAAAACTTATTTTATTATATTTACAGATTAAATTTTGAATTTACTTTTTAGTTAAGAAGTTTATATAATATATAAAATATAAAAATTTAATAACTTTAAATATTATACATTATATTATTTAAAAAATATTAAAAAATATCATTACAAAGAAAAATTTGCAAATGATCTTATAAATAAAGACATGAAAAGTTTTATTTTAATAAATTTCATATATATACTTCCAGAAAAGATCAGGTATTGATATTATTGTTATCATTATTACCTGAATTAACATATAATTTGTGTATTGTTTGATAATCCTTCTATTTTTATATATATTTGAGTTCTTAAATATTAATACATTTCTAATTTCTTGGCATTAATGCATGTACAACATAAATAATGACTATTATTTATCAAAGAGGACAGTGGTTATAAAGGATTCTATCGGCGCCCGCCGGGTACGGGTAAGAATCGTTTTGGCCCCCTGTATTTATTATTTGAGGTGAATAAAGTGTATATTTGGGGTGTGGAAAAGGGAAAGAAAGAGGAAAAAAAGGAAACGTTTTTTTGTATTCAACGAAGTCGATTACGTTTCCTGTTCCACAGCGATTCAGCAATATATCAATTTTGAAATAGAAAAAAGGTAGTGCGTTCTTTGCCAACACAACGAATAGCAAACGTAACCTCCCAACAATTTTTTTGGACAGTCGACGAAGAAAAAGTATATACTTAAATAAGATAAAGATTCCAAGAAAATATAAACAAAAATAAGTACCTTTTTCCGACCCGAGTACCCCTTGAATTCTCATCTGCGTACTCATGACTATGGAACTGTTCTATTCCACCAGCCATAATATCCATCTGATCCATTCCACCATGATCAAGAGTCCCACCACTATTCTTTGTTACCTTAACATTTTTTCGTGCTTTCTCTAGTTCTGCTTCGTATTTCTCTTTTTCAATTTTATTAGCCGCAGCTGCTTCTTTGACGTGTTGGATTTTTGCTTCGATGGTTTTAAGTATTTCTTCTGACGTTTGAGACCTTGTAGGTGTATGATTGACGCAAATATGAAATGTGTGTGTACATATATATATATGAAAGTGTTATAAAGCAGTTTGTAGATATTCACATACCATGCAGCCAGCACCTGCAGCATATGATCAATCTGACCAGGTCGAAGGTCTCTACCCATCGTATATTCAATCTCTAGTTGTTTCTTTTTCTGATCTAACTTACCTTTGATCACATCTTGATAGATCGCTTCGATGATCAAATCCTCAAGTTCACGTACATTTGAGATGTCGAGATATTGCAAGAGTATATCGTATGGGATTATCTTTTTTTTATTTTGTTAGTAATGGTAAAGATGATGTAAAGAAAGAAAGAAAGAAAGAAAACAAAATTTACTCGTGATTCTTCTGATAAAGAGACAATGGATAAATGCTTAAGTTTGTTAAGTTGGGCTGTCTCTAGTTTTGGCAAACTTGAAACATTTTCTACATAATCATTATCACCGAGAGAAACAATTAATATTAAAAATTGTAAATTGTAAAATGCGAATTGCAGAATTGCAAAAATAAAATAATAGATGGCAATTAAAATAATGAGGGAATTCAGTAGATCGAAAATAAAATTCATTTATTCACCTTTATAATCCTTATACGTCCCATAAGAAAATAAACGCAACAAAGTATGATATGAACTATGCTGTTCATGGTCCTTGAGCTATACCCAAATAGATGAAATAAATAATCAAAAGGCTGACCGTAGTAAACTTTTTAATTGTTTTCACGTAAAGAAATATTCTTTTGCGTTCCGTACTCCTGTAACTATATAGGTACCTCCGCAATGTTTGGCATTTCCAACAATTCTGCAAACACGTATACCCCAGGTGCCGCGAGTGCCTCCTTGATTAACTTCACGGAGGCAGCTCCTTTTGCTGATTTTGAGAGGAGAAGGTACGGTTCGAGGCGTTGACGATTCGAACTTCCAAGTACTACTTGGGCCATATTTGTACTTGATTTTTCGTGTTGTCTTCAATGCAAGATATATTTTATTTTTTGATTTTTTGATCTCTTATATTTCGGAAAAATTTCCGTGAGAATAAAATTAACATCCGATTCGTCTATTTTCTAACATAAAACGACGCGTCCTAGATCGGTTCAACAATTTTTTCCGTTTCATTATAAACTATAAAGAACAATGGGAGAAGCAAAATCAATCCAATTTGACAACATTTATTACGGTCTTACCTCAGAACCGGGAGTACTCAAACTCGCGCCTATAGGTCTCGGATGGAAAACTCCGATAGCGGAGACGATATTAACCGTTTCTGCAGAGGATTTTAAAAGAATGCAATGGATTCATGTGGCTCGTAATTACCAACTTAGAATTCAACTTAAAAACGGTGACGCGCTGAAATTCGATGGGTTTCTCAAAGATGTGAGTGTTTTTTGGAATGAGATTTTCGGAATAGATCACGTTATTGAGGCCCGCCTCTCGCAATTTTTTTTTGATTTATAGGATTTTGATACACTAAGAGAATTAATAAAATCAAACTATCGATTGAACCTTGAAATCAAAGAACTCAGCGTAAAAGGCTGGAACTGGGGCAAAACGGATTTTCAAGGTAAATAGATAAAATTGAAATTATTCCTAAAAAGAACTATTTCTACATGAATTCTTTTTAATTCGATACATTCCGATTAATTTCAAATTTTTGTTCCAAAAAGGTTCACAACTACTTTTTAACGTTGGAAGCAAGACAGCATTTGAACTTCCTTTAAACCAGGTAGCAAACACCAATCTCGCTAGCAGGAACGAAGTCAGCCTGGAATTCATGCAACCCGAACAAATGGACGAAGATGCACACCGTGGCGCATCAAAAAAAGCCCAGGTGCACGAATTAGTTGAAATGAGATTTTATATCCCGGGCACGGTGACTGTTACCGGCGGTGATGGCGACGAAGGTGAGGGTGATGAAGAAAAGAGCAAAAAGAAGATAAAGGGTAAAGAGAAGATAAAAGAAAATGGTGGGACATCAGAGAAAACGGATGGAGAGGAACAGGAAGAGGAAGAGGAAGAAGAGACTACTGAAGAGATTAGTGCTGCTTCTGTAGGTTTTTGCTATTCCAAGTATGTCCTTGATGAGATTATTTAAGTTATAAAATGAAAAAATCATTTTCGTATTTTTGATAGATGTTCCATGAAATGGTTAAAGAAAAAGCAGATCTTGGACAAGTGAGTGGAGAGGGAATAATATTGTTTTCAGATATTTTACTTTTGACACCACGGTAAGAATACATAATTGAATTTGTATTTACAAACGACTATTTGTCTTCTTTACTAACATTCTTTACTATATGTATATATATTTTAGTGGACGTTACGATATCGACATGTTTCCCACGTTTCTGCGACTGCGTGGCAAGACGTACGACTACAAGATCCAGTATACGAGCGTCATAAAATTGTTTCTATTACCAAAGCTGGATGATGTTCATGTCATGTTTGTGGTTTGTAGTAATTTTCTTTGTTTTTGTTTTGATTTTGAATTAATCGTTTGAACTTAATGCTATATTAAAATTAGATAGGACTTGATCCGCCACTTCGACAAGGGCAAACGCGGTATCCTTTTCTCGTCTTGCAATTTGTTAAAGATACGAAAGTTGATATGGAATTGAATATTGACAAGTATGTGTTTGATTATGTTTACAAAAATTGTCATGAGATTTTAATCAATGTTCGTAATCCAATTTGCTCTTTAACAGAGAGACTATCGAAAAAAATTACAATAATAAATTAGAGGAAAAATATGAAGATAAACCGTTGTTTGAGGTAGTCAGTAGTGTCTTTAAAGGGTTGACACAAAGAAAAGTTACTGTACCTGGATCATATCGTAGGTAAACATTATGAAAATCCATTAATATTTTATTTATTCGGTTGTCTAAGTGTCTGTGTATGTAAATCGATAACACTGAAAATTTACACTCTCCGTTTTAATGCGTGAGGACAGTCATCACGGAAATTCTGCTTTCAAATGTTCAATGAAAGCCAATGAAGGATATCTTTATCCGCTCGAGAAATGTTTTCTATTTATACCGAAACCGCCGACATTTATTCCCATACAAGACATTATCAGTGTCACGTTCTCAAGGGTGTCTAGTAGTGCGTCTAGTTCACGAACATTTGATTTGAAGTTTAATCTAAAGAATAAGACGGAAATTCAGTTTTCTAGTATAAATAGGTGGGTGTTGGGATTTTTTGTCTCATCGAGATTTTTTTCGATATAAGAATTATAATCTTTGTGTGTTTTGTATATAGGGAAGAGCATAAGAACATCGAGGATTGGATGAAAACTAAGAATATTAATGCACAAAACGACATGACTGAAGACGTATGTGTATTTCTTTCTTCAATGTTCATTATGTTATTATATTTTATTAATGGACATTAGAATCGGAATTAAGTTTGTTTATTTTGTATTTGAATATTTTTACAGAGTATGTTTGCTTATAAAGCTATTGAAGAACTTGGCGATACAGATGAGGACGAGGAGGAAGAAGTCATGCCAAGGTCTAGACGACGTGGTGATCCTCAATCAATGGATATTGATAACGAAGAGGACGAGGACGAAAGTGGTAAGAGGAACCGTTTTCTCATATGCGTTGCGCGTGGTTTTATTGCTAATTGTTTTTTATTATAGTGGACGAAGATTTTGTTGCGGAAGAAAGTGAAAGTGACGTTGCAGAAGAGTATGATGAAAACTATCAAGGATCGGGTTCATCATCATCAAGTGAGCAAGAAGATAACGAACCGCCGAAAAAGAAAACTAAAACGAAAAAATGATGAGGACAAAAGCCAACAGGTTAATACGATATTAAATATAACTGCCGCCCAAATTCGATTTCAATTTTGTCAAATTTTGGCACTTGCCATATGTCTAAAATCCGAATTTATTCAAATTTTATATTTAAATTACAAATTTTGTTCCTAATTATATAGCATTTTCTAACATCACTATCTAATATTTGATTAATATTGATTAAAGAAAGGATTAATTTTAAAAAAAATACCAACATAAAAATAAAATCTCTTCGAGATTTCTAATTTTGATTCAATTTCATTAAAGCCTGATTAATCAAAGTTTTAATTAAATAAATTCAAATTTTTTCTAGCCAGTTCTGATAAGACCGATCCATAACTCGATCTTTGGGCCGATCCTTGTGGTCTTCGGTCTTTGATTTTGGAACCTATCCGGATCTGACCGATTATGATAATCGAGTAGTTAGTTCCAATTGGATCCGTTAAAGCCGTGGAATTGCACGTGATATAAAATCCGATCCAGATCAAGTAGATCATGTTTTCAAACATGTGATTTGTAAATTATTTAATAAATTAAATAATAAAATTTATTTGATTAATAAATCATTAATCAATTATAATTTATTCATCAACTTCATAATTTAAAAATAAAATTATATATAAACTTGTATTAGCTTGTATATATTTTTTATTAATATTATATTATTTATTCCAAACTTGCTTTATAAATTTAAATTTATAATCTGTAATCAAATTATTCTAAAAATTATCTTATTAATCAATTAACAAAAACAACTGAGCAATTTTTTTAAATTCAAGAGAAACTGAGAGAAAAAGATCTAACTTTCTAATGATGATGATATGCTACAAATTCTTGATCTATTTGAAGGAAACTTTTGCTGATTTTGGATTTCAAGTATCTTTACCAGATCTGATATGTGAAATTCTTCTAGAGTTCATCTATTTGGTCTGCTCAATGGCATTCAAATTTAATCCAGAAAAGGATTATTATTACTTCACGATTTAAACTTTCAAATTAACATTAAGCTCATGATATAATATTTGAAGAAAATAAAAGACACTAAAATCATTAATTTCTCCAATACCATCACAATGATATTGAAAAATTGCAGCACGTAATTGTATCAGCTTTTTAAAATTACGTACTAAGGTTTTTAATATTACAAGATATCATAAAGTGAAGCCCATAAGCCTCGTACACGTACTAGCTTTGCTGCTGATTTCGGGTTCAGATAAGAAAAATCAAATTTGTAAATCCAAACATAGTTTTCAAAATTTAAGTATTAAATGAAGAAATTAAGAAGTTTAGTAAAATTGCACATATGAAAAGAATTGAATTTATTAAAAAACACCATTAGAATTTCTATAACATGTGAAGAAGCACTTTATTAGAGAATCCGAACGGTTCGGTACTGATCGGTAATTATTCATCTTTCGAATAATTAACGGAATCACAATGATCAATCATCAAACTTTTAAATTATTACAATAAACTTTACAATGAGTGTCGTGATAATCAAAGAAAAGGAAACTTAATAA